AAGCTTATATGATAAAGCTACAAAGAAAAGCAAAACACAAAATCCAGAATGGCATTCTCTCCAAGGGAAAAAAGTAATAAGCTCCCCAAGAAGGATTCATATGATAAATCTCAGAGGTAACAGTAATGTTACTCACGCTCTCTAAATATGTTACAAACATTTTTATGTAATATTTAACTTTCAAAACTCAAAACACTTAATAGGGTGAGCAACAGCGCAGTTCTGTGCCATGTGCCGTTCTCTCAATCTGTTCCCAGCTGGCGGCAGACGGGAGCTCATCATCCAAAACAACACGCAACAATTTTCTCTACACTCTTCTCAGTGTTGGTTTTTAAAAGCAATCCAGAATTATATGCTAAATAGCATCATTTCATCATGTTGATTATTCGCCATTAAAACATTACATTGATTTTTTGCCATTAAAACAACCATTACATTTGCTCTGCCATTTTAAGTATGCTTCAATCTTAATATATCCCAACTAGAAGTAAAAAAAAAAAAAAAAAAAACCTCGAAAGCTATTCAAACTGTCATATTCAATCAGAATCACTGTCCAGTGATTTTGGAATCTATCTGATTTTAATGGCACAGATTAAAAGAAAAGGGTTTTGCTCAAATTAATTAATTCTAATTCTCTGCTTGCTTGGTCTTTTTTATTATTGTTCCAATTTGTTACCCTTTTGTTACCACTATCATGACACAATTTTTAGGTCTCATATCAAAATAATTCTGGTTCAGTAGAAGTGGTGGAAGGCGTGTGGGTCCCAGTGGTTTCACTGAAACTACACCACAACTTTGACAAACAAAAAAAACAATTTGAATGTATCCATGGCAACATAGTTTTAGGCAACAATGAACCCAAAACTATAGATGTGTTGCCAGTGATAAAACTTGAATGGCTAAAAGAAATCAGTTGTATATATTCTAGTCCCCAGTAGTGACTCGTTTGTCTAGTTCCACATCTTAGATTGCTTTGAAAACTTCAGGCAGTTTAAGTAAAATCAGAAGTATAAATAATATGAAGGTATGTTTTACATCACTTATGTTTAAAGTATTCCAACCCATATGCTCACAAACGGGGTAAGTTTTGGCTTAAATTGTATAAAATCATATACAATATAGTTTGCATTTTAGACCACACAAAATTTAAATAGTAAACAGGCTACACTCTCAAATACATTACTTTTAAGCATATCTAACCCAAAGATACAGTCAGCTTTAGCTGGTGGACAAAATACCAAGGTAAGCTTAGATAGGACTACACACTTACCAAGAAATCAATACATCCTTTGTTTCAGATGAGCTTACGTGAATAGCTCTGATTTGCTTTGCTCTGGATCATGTATTCGTATTAAAAGAATGGTTTAAGTTCAAAGAAGCATGTTTAAAATGCCCAAGAGATGAGTGTTTTATAAAGTAAGGCTCTATTTCTAAACTCTTCTAATAAGCATGGGGCAAATGGCAACTGGCAGCCTGGGAAAACCTCTTACTGGTTCATTCAAGATCATATAATGAATAACAAGTATATACCAAAACAGGAAAAGTGATCGATAAACATGGTTGGTATCCTATGCCGTGAAAAACAGAAAAAGAGGTAAGAAGGGAAGGAGCCATAAGCTTCCTTGCCCCTGACAGCCCAGGACTGTTCCCCGGAATGTTATGATGATGTATGGTTCTGGCTAAAGTATGGAAGTTAAGCCAAACTGTCCGCACAGAGACTTAGGAACACGTGGTTTCTGACCAGAAGAACGTGACACAGAAGCCGGGTAACATTACTAACTGCATTATCTTCATGCCGTGGATGACATGCTGGAGATCAGAGCTGGGTGTTGATTCAAGGGAAATCTTCCATAAATGGTGTCTAAGCGCAGGCTACATCATCCAAAAACTCCCCAGAGATTTTCCTATTATGTACATGGAAGACGGAATGCAGCAAGTCCCATTTGGCTGGACAGAGAACATTCTCTGTTCAGTGAAACTGCGTGGTTCTTGTGCTTCGTGCCAACTGCAAGTTCATACTAGACCAAGGCCCTAAACATGAAGGAGTTAAGTGTACTCAAAAATGTGCCAGATGCAATAAGCAGTGCTGGGTAGTTCACTGCCTCTCAAACATCAAAACCACAGGGCAAGACACTAATAAGGCCATCATTCTTGTAATGTCTTTCGCTAGTTAAGAGTCAGTGTTATGACAACTGTTACTCAGAGTTACCATAGCAAAATGGAGCAGCATTATCTTTTTCCATTCACCTCCTATTGATGCACAAGTTAAAACCAAGAACTGCCTGAGCGCATCACCAGTGACTGTGGCTCCGTGAGGCTGACGGTCTTGGGGAAACCTTCAAACCTGAACACAAGTATACTATAAAATAGAGTGGGAAATAGACACTTGGGTGAGGTGACTCAGCTCAAATGTCACTTGCTCAAAAAGGTCATCTTGGACAAACTTAAAGTACTGTTCAGGTGCTCCCTGAATTACCAAAGGTTAATAAAACCCATTGTAAGTTGAAAATGTAAGTCAAAAAATATAGTTAATATATCCCTAACCTACTAAGCATCAGAGCTTAGCCCAGTCCCCCTTAAACACTTGCATCAGCTCACAGTTGGACAAAATCATCAAACATAAATTCTGTTTTATAATCAGGTGTTGACTATCTCAGGTCCACACAGAGACAAGCATCGTGTACACATGACGAAATGCAAAATCTCAAAATATAGGACCTAATAAAACTGTGGCAGCACAGCACACTGTATTGCTTGCTGGTTCACATGATCACGTGGCTGGCTTCCCTGTCCAGCATGGAAAGAGACTACCACAGTACTGGCCTAGGTGTGTATTACTTTTACACCATTACAAATTAGAAAAATCTTTAGTTGAACCACTGCCAAGTTGGTACCATCTTTTTTTTTTAAAGCACAAAGATCATTTATTTGCAAGGCATTTGAATACTACATGTCTAGTGAAAGCCCTGAGACCACATGTGTAACAGTTGATACATTGTGTCAACTTGAGAAGTCTAGAAGCTTAACTAAGGAACTCAGCAGGTCTACATCCGAGGGTGAGGAGGACCTGCCCTTACTGCGCTAGGATGTTCACTGTGTCAACATGAGAAGTTTAGAAGTTTAACTAAGTGACTCAGCAGGCAGGGGGCCAGGGTCCTCACTTTGTAAACATCCTGAGCCTGTGGAAGAGGAGAGCACTGGGAGGGTGTGTAGCCTGCATACAATATAAAGGAGAAAAAGAAGCTTGCTCTCCCACTTTTGCTCTTGTCGCTTTTGCTATCTTCCACCACCTTGAACTTTATTGCCCCTCTGCCATGCCACCCTGCTTTGGAGCCAGCCAATTACGGACTGCAACCTCTACAAACCAGAAGCTAAATAAACCTTTTCTTCCTTAACTTTGGGCATCAGGTATTTTGTCCCCATAACAAAGAGGAAAGTAACTACGACAGCGTATATGGTCGTATTAACATTATTTACATGGTGCAAGAAGATAGTCAATGTGTATATAAAGAACCAGGGGTTTTGGAGAATGTGTTATACTTTTCCGCAGAAAATGACATCAGTTTACCCAAGATCTGACCTAGTCTCTGCATCAGAACTTCATCATATTCTAGTTCTCCAACCCTACCTCCCACAGTAACACAGGCAGTTGTTGAAGCTTAAAAAATATCAACCTGCTCTTTCTTCACTAGCCAGCCGCTCTTTAACACATTATCTTTAATAACTATAAAATTAGAAAATTTTAGGTATTTTTGTCCCTCTTCCTGTTTGAATTTAGACTCCCACAGACAGGAGATTTGATGTTTCATTACCTTGCCCCAAACACTCACATGAAGGTTGGCAGAGAATAAGCCCTCACTGGTTATTCACAGGCTGCCTTTCCAGCTGCCAAAGAACACAGAGTTCAGTTATCTATAACTGATATTTTTTATGGAGTCCAGAAAATCCAGCACTCACATTGAAATGTCAAAAACACCCCATACTGGAATGAAAAGACTCTTACTGCAGATAGAACAGGAATTAAATCTGTACCTATTGGCAAAGTGGTCTGAAGCAACACCACTCCTGGGGCGGGGTTGGGAGCATGGAAGAGCAGCTTCTGCATCACTTAGCAGTTTGCCAGAAAAGCAAAATCTAAGGCGACCACAGACCCAGGGAATCAGAATGTCCGAAGATGAAGCCCAAGCACCTGTTTTATAATTAAGCTCTTTCAGTGACTCAGCAACCCTCAAGTTTTGACACTTATTGAACTATAGCTTCGACAGGGTCCCCCACAGGCCCATGTGTTAAGGGCTTGGTCCCCAGCTTGATGGCTTGCATCAGTTGGGAGGCGGTGGAAGCTTTCAGAGATGAGAAGCATTTAGGTGTTGAGGGTATTGTGAGATCCCGCCTACCCCTTGTTCTCTTTTGCACCCAGCCATAAGTTGAGCTGTTTGGCTCCCACAGGCGCTCCTGCTAACACATGCTGCCTTGTCACCGGCCCAAAAGCAATGGCAACAACAAATCATGGAGTGAACCCTCTACAACTGTGAGTCAGAAGCAGCCTTTTCTCCCTACTATTTGATTATCTCAGGCATTTGTTACAGCGATGGAAGGCTAACACAACTACTAGGTGGGAAAAAAATATTAAATTACAGTGAGCTACCCCACTCATCTTAAGTGTGACTACCATTCAGAAATAAAGGTGAAAATAAACAAGAAATGTTATATTTGGAGTCTTCCAAAGACAACTGGTACATTCTTGTTGGCATTGAGATTAAAAACATCAGGAATGAACGAGGAAGAAGAGAAATGACATGCAAAATGATACACGTGAATAAAGACAGAGCGGTCTGAACACACACCACACTTGCCCATGTGTGGTTTCCCTGGGACCTCCCAGACCTGAGTGAATTCTTAATTCACTCAGTTTTCCTCTCCTTCCCTGGGCCACAGCTCTTGCTAAGAATCATGGGAATAGACAACTGATCAAGACAGCTCAGAGAATCACTGCATCCTACCGTGATTCAAGTGCCTGATGCAGTCGCTCAAGAGCGTGCTGAACCTCTTCTGGTCAGCGGCCTCCTGGAAGCAGAAGTAGCCATGTCTCAGGAAGGGCAGCCACAGGTACACCGGGAACGCCTTGGGCAGGACCACAAAAGGCTGAGAATTTTCCTTCTCACTGGAGGCTGAAGAAAGAGTGGAAACCCCAATCATTTCAAAACATGTGTCTTTTCTTTCAAATACTTATTTCCAGCTAGCGGTGAGGGTATCCAGGGCAGGCCAGAGGTGGACATTTGCTAGAGAAAACAGGAGTTTGGGCTCCTCTCCACATATCCACTAGCTCCCCCTACTTACTCCCTCCTCTCTCTCCACAGGGGCAGTCACTGCCATCTGACACAATCTTTCTCAACTCCGTCCTGTTGAAAATACCTGCAGACAGAGCTCCCTCTACCCACTGGTCCTGTGTGGGTCCCTGCGGACCCCTGCCCCCCTGCACACACTCTAAGCTCTGCAGGACCCAGCTTCCCAGGTCTCCTCCCACCCGCTCCCATTGCTGTGTGCACCCTCTGCTTATTCCCCACCAGCTCCTGAACCCAATGGCCGAGGTCACTCATGCTTCCTGACTGCAAGCCCACGGCTTCTTCTTTTTTACTGGACATCTCATCTGATCTGCAGCATCTATTGCTGCCAGGGACCCTTTCTTTTGAGAACTTCTCCATCCTTGACTTCCAGGAACACCTCTCACCTTGTTTCCTTCGTGCTTTAAAAAGCGGTTTCTTTTTTGTCACCTTATTGCTTCCTCAGCTGCCTCCCTGTTAAGTGCTGGTGGTTTCCCTGTTCTGTGCTGCCTTCCCCGCCACCCTCAACCTATTCCCTCTCACGGATCAGCCCAGTCATCCCGTAACTTTTTTTTTTTTTTTTTCCGGTACCAGGAACCGAACTCACGACCTTGCGCTTGCCAGGCAGGCGCTTTGCCGCTGAGCTAAATCCCCAGCCCCATATCCCGTAACATTTTATGTAGCTTGTGCAGTCTGTCTCACCCTCCCCTCCTTTCCCATCATGCTTTCCCTTTCATCCTTCAAAAGTCAGTTCAGAAGCAACCTCCCCTGTGATGTATCTTCTGTCACCAGAGAGCATTAGGTACTCACTACCTGGTTCCCCTAAAATACTCGCACCCAAGCCTGGGGTTGGGGATGTAGGGTTGGAGACTGACGAGATGAGCTCCCCCACTGATTCTCATGGGTCCCCTCCCCAGGAAGCAGAGACACAGTTCGGGACTATGGGCTCCTAGAAGCTACCTCTCACCTGTCCTTGTACCCTCAGCCTATAGCACAGTCATGGAATCTAAGAGACTTTTACCTGCAGTGTGTTGAGTGAATATATGTGAGAAGTAGAAAATTTCAGCAGCTCTAAAAACATGAGACTTTTGGGGTGGGGTGGGGAGGGTAGTGAGTGAGAGAGTACTTACCCAGCGTGTGAGGCCCTAGGTTCAAACCCAGCAAGAGAGGGAGGGAGGGCGAGAGAGAGACAGAGAGAGACTCTTCCCTCAAAATCAGTCCCAAGAAGCTTATGTTAAGCCACATTACTATTCAGAACTCTGACCTCAACATTATTCCCTTCACGCATTCCTATGACATGACATTGTACTTGGTTAAAAATCCAAGCTTCTTTCCAGAGTTGCAAAGAACACACAGAAGAAAAGTTAGTTCTGTGCTCCTACAAAATGGGCAGCCATGGCGGGGACAGGAGGGACAGCAGGGCCTCTACGAGGCTGGCGAAGGCAGTGGCATGCACAGAAATGGGTCATAACCATAAGAGAGGCTCCAGGACTAAGTCAGCACTTCTGAAAGAGGGTAGGGGATGGGAATGTAAAAAGGAATTCAGATGCATTATGGGCATATACCAGCTCCACACTAGGAATATAAACATCACGTACTGTAAACATGTTCTAAAAATAGCTTTGGGGGAGCACAGACAGGAGCCCTGTTCCACCATCCTGGAATCTGAAAGCAACATAGCGAAACTCTCTGGGAGCACACACGGGGGCCCACGAGGGCCTAGCACAGTGCGCAGCATATCACAACATAAGAACGAATCACAACATGCAGGAACAGAGGAATGACTGGTTGGACGGTTTAGAGACCCCCAGCTATAACACAGTATCTATTCTCCCCTTCTTTCTCAGTAATAAAACCCAAGATTTTTACTTGGCCATGGGACTATACAGATTACTTGTTAATGTCTTTAATTGTTTGATCAATCTTGCATTCTTACATCTGGTAATCTGAGCAACTTTGTTGAAGATAACAATATGTAATATAGCTGGGCCTAGTGGTGCACACCTGAAATCCCAGCACTCGGGAGGCTGAGGCAGGAGGATCGTTGCAAGTTCGAGACCAGCCTGGGCTATGAAGTGAGCTCAATGCCAGCCTGAACTGAATAGTGAGACCCGTCTCAAAAAGACCAAAAAAGTAATATAACAACCATTGTTAATTCCTATCATCTTGTTTTGAAATCATTTATCGTTTTTGTATTGTTTTGGTTTTGTTGTCACTGTTGTTATGTTGTTATTGTTTTTTTCTCTCTCTCTTTAAAATAAAAAAAAAGAAAAGAATGTACAAATATTTCCAGTCTTCCTTATAGTTCGGGGGCTGCGGGTTTAGCTCAGCAGCACAGCACCTGCCTGGCAAGCGCAAGGTCGTGAGTTTGATTCCTGGTACCGGAAAAAAACAAACAACAACAAAAAAACCTTATAGTTCAGTAGCCCACAGCTACTAAGTGCTGGCCAAAGGGAGGCAAACCAAAGCGGCATATGAAAATTCCTGGAGTTATCCCTAAAGATGCCTTTTCTCCTTCTTACTATCTGGAATAAGAAAGCTATAGCTGGAGCTTAGCAGCCACCCTGGATTCTGTTAAGAACGACAACCTCCAAAAAAAAAAAAGAAAAAAAAAGGGAGAAAACTACAAAGATCCCAAATCTCTGACGAATCTATGGATCTGTCATACCAGTTGTGGAAAAATACTGAAATATCTTTGTGAGATAATAAGACCTTATGTATTTAACTGAAATTTTTTGCTGGAGTGCAGCAAACGAGGTTTTAACTAATAAAATACCAAACAAGTGAAGAACTTTAGCAAAACAGGAGCATTCCTGGTACCACACCTTAGCATAACGCTCTGGAAAAACCACATACTTAGTCATAAACCTCTAGTGCCTTCACTCGAGCAAGGTTAATTCCTCCCAATTTGGTGGTGCCTAGATTTATCCTTTCCTGTAGAAACAGTATCACACAGTGAGTGCTCTTGACTACCATGGTTTTGTGAAACAATTCACAGGGCCCTTTCCAAGATGTCACAATTTTGTACAAACAATCGAAAGCAACATTGACCCTTTGCATTTAAAAGCTTCAGCGAGACCCATAAAATTCACTGTTACCCACTGTGTATCTCTCACTTGACCTTTTGCAACCATTTTCCAGATGCCATCAGTCTGCATATTTTCTGAGTTGGGTTACTAAGGCATCACAAATGATCCACTGTAGAATATTCTATTTTTACAACTAGGAAGGCTACACCACACAATAAAAATAGTCATTGAAATGCCCCAAGTAAAAGCCCTGGGCTCACTGGCCTTAGTCACACAAGCCTGATGTTCTTTATTTCCTTTCAGCCCTCTGATGATTTCATCAATAAGTCAATAAATGTACTGTCTGTTCTCACAGATTTTGTTGGAAAGCTCTGGGGAGAGTCTCAGGAGTCAACATACGGTGACCTCAATTTCAAGATGCAATTCCCAGCCAAGGCCACCGGTATATAGATGTTGCCAGAAAATATGAAACGTGATAATATCACTAGTGCACACAAAGCATTGTTTTAGCCTGAATTATATAGTAATAATTTGTTCATTTATGGTTAATGGTCCATATACTAATCCTACAATTGGTTATCAAAAACACGATGGTAAATGTTCTTCACCAAAAAACAATTGGTGAAATTATTACATTTTTCCCCATAAATTCTAATGAAATGATTGTTCCCATTAATAAGGACCAGGATTCTCTTCAAGAAACCAAGTAATTACTGTGTGGTGCAATTTACACAAAGCCAAAAATACTTATTACTTCATCCATAGTTCATGAGTTTCTATTATCCATCCTTTTCTCTATATATTATTTATTTTATTTATTTATTTATCTATTTTGTCTGTTTGAGACAGGGTCTCACTATGCAGTTCAGGCCGGCCTTGAGCTCACTTTGTAGCCCAGGATGGACTCAAACGCACAATAATCCTCCTGCCTCAGCCTCCCGAGTGCTGGGACTACAGGCATGTGCCACCAAAAAGTGGAGTTAAAGAGAATCAAAGAACAGTAGAACTGGAAAGACACTTATAGACTTTCAAGTTCAAAGCCCCACTTAAGAAAGAGAAACAAACTAGAGAAGTTTAGCGCCCTACTAGTGTAAAACATTTTGTAAGCGGCAGAGCTAGAATTAGATAAAATCCAGTGTCCCAACGCTTGGCCCAGTGCTCCTTCTAAGGCAGCATTCACGTTTATCTATAGACAGGTTAATTAATGCAATGTTTCTGTATAGTAGCTTTCAGTTACTGTGATATTTATTTCAAGTTTTTTTTGTCACTTTAAGATAATTTATTGACTATCCTCCTAAAACTAGAATAATAAAAATAACAATTCTTGACAGGTCCCAGTCTGTTTACTAAAAAACTGAATCACACATTTCACAGACTGAGCCCTGCTGGTTTATTTCTACTGGCCTGGGGTGCTGCCATGTATTCCAAAGGTTTCCAGATACTTGACCAATAGCAAAGTCACTGTGTACTAGAAAAATAGTAACTGACTTGGGTATTGCTGAATAGGATGTGAAATAGCCTGAGTGGCAACATGTTCATTTAAATTACAGAAGTCACATCTTCCATTTGTCCATGGAAAATGGGTGTCACAACCCTGGTATTACTAATACTTTTTAGTTGATTTCCTCTGAGAAACTCCAATGTGAGTCCTCCTTTATTAGGCCATGTTGAATCCCTGCTGCTACTAGTATTTCATGTCAGGTAACTCCTCAAGGTTGTAGGATGTTTAGCCGCATTCCTGGACTCTACCCACAGAATGTCTGCAGTACCCACCTTCTTACTATGGAACAGAAATGTCTCCAAATACTGTCAAATGCCCTCAGAAGGTGAAATCCCTCCCAAACCCCATTGAGAACTGCTAGTCTATTTAAACCAGGCAGTTTAGGAAGTTTTGCTTTGGAAAGGGTTGCTCAGCAACTCACCAATGGGATCTGGGAAATGCTTATCAGATAATAGATTATATTCATCTTCTGAGGTTAACACCTTGCCGCCAGCTGGAAGAATTCGGCTTTTAGGAGCAGCTCCTTTTTGATAGGCCTGGAAGAAAATGCTTACATGAAAATGGTCCTCATTTGGATTTTTGGAAAATAGCAGAAGGATTAAAAGTAGATACATAGACTCAAATGCATATACTCAGAGACAGCAATCCCCCACACCACATCACTGAGTTATTTATTCAAAAATTAAGTTTTGTATGAATGCTACTTGCAAGGTATCCAGTACTTTTGTGTGACTGTCACAGCATGACAAAGCAGAGTCCTTCATCTCAGGGAGATTTCTCTGTAGGTATGTTCTCAAAGGAGGGGTCTCAGTAACATCTAGATAGTCTGTATCGTATTTACCATTTCAGGTGCTAATGCCCAAGTCATTCTGTTATTTCTTTTTTTGTTTAGTTTTTTTTTTTTTCCCAGTACTGGGAATCAAACTCACGACCTTGTGCTTGCCAGGCAGGCGCTGTGCCGCTGAGCTAAATCCCTAGCCCGCTCAAGTCATTCTGATAACCACAAGGGTGATCACCACAAAAATGCTGCACAAAATGCTTGGTGACAGATGCGGGCCAGGTACGATGATCAGTGATGCTATGGAATGTGCAACTGTAATGATAGTTACCATGGATTTTCATCAAAAACATAAACATGTTACCATGATAAAAAATATGCTACTACTTTGCCCCCAGAAATGTCAGCTTTGCAGTAAAATGACTGGGAGGGAAGTACACTTTTGTGACATCAGAACCAACTCTGGCCAGCAGACAAGAAGCTCTACTATCTGAGAAACTTAGCAGAAGCATAGAGCATCACAGAAGGCATTACATAGACCCCTAACCCCCGCCAGGACCGCAGAGAAGATAAAGTTAAGTATGTGAATCTGATGAGAAGGCTTATATCCAGACAAAATTCTCCAACTAGCAGTCTAAGGGCAAACTGACAAGAAACTGTGGGACCCAAAATCTTAAGTATACTCTTGGGAATAACTAAAATAACGTTGATCTAGGCAACAAATTTAGACTATAATAAACAGTCTGCATCAGTAAGAGACTGACTGAAGAGACCTAAATAAATCACTCTCAGATATCCAAGAAGCTTGTTTCAACACTTGTAAGAACCATCAATCAAACGCTAAACCGCATCAGGGACCCAGAGTGTACCAGAAAAGCATCTAAATTTGTGTGATTTTTGAGAAAGTTTAAGGGCAATTTGTTTCAGACTAGTCTCAAATGTGAATTGTGTTACTAGATATAAGCCTTGATATTGGCTTTTAGCTAGGCATGGTGGCGCACGCCTGTAATCCCAGCACTCACTAGGCTGAGGCAGGAGGATCGTTTTAAGTTCGAGACCAGCCTGGGCTACAAAGTGAGCTCAAGGCCAGCCTGAATTGCATAGCAAGACTCTGTCTCAAAAAAAGACCAAAAACAAACAAACAAACAAAAAATTGGCTTTTATAAACATGATACCACTTAAGCTTCAAAACAGCACTATATATTAGATATTGTCTGCATTTTACAAGTGAAAAAAATGAAGGTTGAGTAACATGCCAATTGCCTGTCAGCGAGGAGGTGACAAATCAGGACTAACACTCATGTCTGTCCAGCAAGGATACAGGAAGGAGGGACTGATCAGCGAATGAGAATGCTTCAATGTCCCTGCTTAGTCACCAGCAAAATTGGACTCTCGGTAAAATAACAGGCAATTTATCAGTCCTTAATGTGTAAATCTTAGGTGTAATTTTAAAAATACTTCTATATATTAAAAAGTAGGCTTTTATTAACGCTAAGCAATGACAACAAAGTACATGGCCTTTCCCTTTAAATACCTAAGCGAATTTTAAAAAATATTTGGCTATTACTAAATTCAGTCATCATAGCTTAACAATCCAAACAAGTTGTTGAAAATAATGAGCAAAGGAAGTGATAGAAAACATAAATTCCAAGTTTCTAAAAGTTAAAAGGAAAAACACTAAAATTTGATCAACAAACAAAATTCAGTTAGTGTCAAACATAATACCTGGATGAATGTAAGAACATGAACGTTTCCTCACAATTAGTTATAAACAATCATAGCAGCAACTGTTCTATACTGGGCTCAACCGCAGCAGGGCATATGCTAAGTATATCAACGAATTCATTTACTGAATTCTCACAACACCACCACGACAAAGGATCGTGCCATTGTACAGATGAGAACACTGAGGCTCAAGGAGATTCATAACTTTGGCAAAGACACTCATCTAGCAATTGGCAAAGATGTAATTCAAAGCCCATGGTACTACTTATTATACAGCATTATGTCTCCTCAAGCATCCCTGAAAAGACATTGTAAAGAACCACAGGGAATATAAGGTTATTTGTTATTACTACTATTATTATTTGTATTGGTAATTTGTTTCTGGGTACAAATTATGTGTTGAACGAAATCCTAATACAGTCAAGCAGAAGAAATACTAGCTCATTCAATGCTGAAGAGAATAAGTTTATCCAAGAAAGACCTTGAGCCTTGTCTGGCAGCCTGTGAAACAACTGTGCACTGTATGTTATTCCAAATTTTCATCAGAAATGGGAAGAAAATACGTGGTCTGTTGGCCTGAAGGCTTCTCTGAATGGTTTAGCATCAGAGGGATTGCTCAGACCATGCCACAAAGTTTCTCCTGATTACCTCAAACTCAGAGTCAACACAGCAGAGCTGGCAATCTGTTATGATCTTTAATGGATAAAACATAACTTCTCATTTCCAGGAAAGCCTGAAGACCCATGTAGATTAAAAAATGTGCACAGTATGAGATCTGGGATGAACCCCTGGGATCATAATTCTCAAGTTTAATCAAGGTCCCAAGACCTGTCACTTGTCCATGAGTTCACCTCTAGTTAGTGGTACAACTTGACCTAAACTTCACTCTTTCAACCTCACTGCCCAGAGCTGGGGATGTGGCTCAGTGGTAGAGTTTTTGCCTTGCATGCACAAGGCCCTGGGTTCGATTCCCAGCACCACCAAAAAAAAAAAAAAAAAAAATCCAACTCACTGCCCAGTGTCCTTTCCCTTATATTACCTCCCTACAAGGTAAAAAAAAAAAAAAAAAAAAAAAATTGGAAACAATAACTCTCAGGTGCTAGATGCTTTACATATGTTACCTCATTTCTCTACATTTGAAAAAAATCTCTACATTTGAAAAAAATAATAATCAAGAAAAAGGTGAAAAAAATCCTTAAGTATAAGTGGAATAAAGTATGTGCAGTGTTTTAATCCCTAGGAACCCAGCCAAGTCCAATCACAACCTTTCTAAATAACCAGTTCCTCAGCCGTCTGTGCCGTCCCAGGCTTAATAATGGAAAAACATGGAGAGCAGCGAAGGAAAGGTATTGCGGTAGTAAATGAGAAAGACCTAGAGGCTAAGTGATCAGAGGCAAGCCTCCTACCCCAAACACCAAGGAGTCAGCATAACCTTCTGGTTTCTCTCACCTGCCATTACTTCTAGTCTTATCCACCCTACTGCAAGCCTTTGTCTGATCAACTGCTATTTACCGGAAATAGAACAGATATTCCAAAAATATCTGTTCACTGAAAGAAGTGAGAGCTCACCGAATCAATCAGTGGCAAAGGAGAGGACATGTCAATCGACCCAGTCAGTTCGCTAAGAATGCTGCAAGAACTAGGGGTAACAAGGACGCATCTTACCTCTTTGTTCTCATAGCTTTCCACAGAAAAATCATTTTTAACCACAACGTATCTGTCCTTCCATTTCTTTATGTCTTCTGCAAACTGTGAGAGCTCTGCTTCATATAACACAGTTCCGGGTTCCAGTGGTGGCTTAAAGAAGACAATGTAATTAATTATCACAGTTAATTCAAAGAATGTTTAGCAGATCCTGGTGAAACTGCTGCTTCCTTCTTTCCTCCATAATTCCCCCTTCCAAATCCTCTGACCAAATGCAAATATTTGTCACAATGGCATTTTTATGTTTCCATTTTCCTCTGTCATACTCTAGGTACAGAAGCATAGAGTAGAAAAGATTATAGTCATAAGGTTTGTATTTTGTTTACATGTGGCACTTAATACATGCTTAGTAAACTGTGTGAGGAAAGTGAGTCTGTATAGCACAAGCTGTGCACATCTACCCAACTCCCTGACATACCTCAGAATTAATTCCTAAAAAGTAGACCACTAACAGCTGTCCCCTGCTCTAGCATACCATCAGGCATACTTCAAGAGGCAAAGTTCAAAAGGTTTTCCCAAAAGCCATGGGGACTTGGGTGATTAACACTTCATTCATCCACGCTGTTCCTCAAGGAAACCACATGTGGTAAAGAACAAGGAGCCATTCAGCCAGTAAAGTTCAGTTCTACCTCTCCTACTTAAAAAGCTAAGCATCTCCCATTAACTTTGTTATATGTGCTGTAGGACAATTTCCATTAGGTTTCTAGTGAGGTCTTTCACAAGGTTTACTGCATGAGGATAATTTGCATCCTGCCTTACTGTGCAAGTCCCATATTATTTCAAAACATGGGAATGGGTCTCTTAGACAGGTCACTGAATTTACATATATCTCCCCCAAATTAAAAAATCATAGTGCCTTCAGAAATTTATCTCTCTGCATTCAAGCCAAAAATTTACATGAACCATACAGAGAAGACAGACCTATTTCTTTCGAGAACTGTCTGAGGGATGAAATAAATTTCCTTCCTATTTTCACTGCTTCAAGTCTGTCCTGACAGATAATGAGGCAATTTCCTATCTGACCTCATTAAAAGAGAAGAAAAGACCTCACTTCTCTCTAAATGAGGCTGAAACCACGATATAAGCTGAACTTTATAGTTCTTAAGTATGACTTTTCTCAAACTTAGACCACTTAATCAGTGGATAAGCTTGTTATATATGTGGCTTCAATCTAGACTTACTCTCTCAGAATCTCTGGGGGAATATATTAAATTTGCATTTTTAACAAGCTCTCTAAATTTTGAGAGTTACTGTTTAATGGGGGTAATAGTTATTCCTGCACACTCATGCTACTAAATCTATTAGTTCACCTCTGAGAAGCATTAGACTCACTTACCGCTCATTTCTTTTTGAAGCCTCTTCTTCATTTACCTTCTCATACCTTACACTCTCCTGATTTTGCTCCTACTCCGCAGGAGTAGGTTCCTTAGTGCATATGGCTGGGCCCCTCTCCTCTCCCCAATCTCCAAAGGTTGGAGGGGCTGGCACACTGCTTCTTCCCTCTGTCACAGCACTCTTCCAGGCATGCATATGACTTTACTGCTGTTGCAAGCTAACACTCCTAAATTTTTATTCTCCCGCTTCAATCTCTCTACAGAACTCCAGATCAGAATATCTTTTACGGTTTATCAAAAATACCTCCCAAAGCTTCACGTGTTCAGAGGAGGAGCTATGAGCTCATGGGAGTGCTAATCTCATCAGCAGATCAATGCATTGATCAGTTCTTAGCTGAACGTGCTGTTAGGAAGTAGGGCCTGGTAGAGGAAGTAGGTTTCCGTGGGAGTAACCCGAAAGGGCATATGCTTGCCCAAGAGCCCTTTCTCCCTCTCTCTGACTCTTCCTCACTCACTCTGCTTCCTGGCTTCCAGGGTGTGAGCAGCTTTACTCTGCCATGCCGTTTCTGTCTTAGAGCCGATCGATCATGGGCTGAAACCTCTAAAACCATAAGACAAAGTAAATGTTTTCTCCTTTAACTTGTATGTGTCGGGTATTTTGTCCCAGCAACAGAATGCTGACAAATACAACATTCAGCTGCCTATTCAGTATTTCCACAGGCATATGTTGCATAAGTACTGCAAACGTTAACATGGCAACACTAAACTCATGATTGCTATTTATTTCTGGTTCTACCCCCTGACTAAAAGGCAACTCCATCCTGAGCCAGGGATATAGCTCAACCCACTTATTTACTCAGGTTAAAGATTAAGAAACCATCACTGATTTCTGTCTTCTTATAGCAAATTCTGTAGCTCTGTTATAAATATTCCTTCTCCCAACCACTACCCCCACTACCACCCTAGTCCAGTTCACCACCACCCTTCCCTTAAACTGATGCAATATCCTCTTTGCAAGTTTCCGAGTACCTCCCCCACAGTCTCTTCTCTACAGAGAGGCCAGAAAGATCATTAAAATTGTATGTCGCTCTGTATTCAGTACCCTCAGCAAGACTTCTCATCACACTTAAAATCAAAACACTTACGATGGCCTTCCGATCTACAGGGTCTGCTCTCTGCCTGCCTCTCACAGTCACTGTTCCTCCTCTCCCTGCTCACAGTGCTCCAAGTAGACTGTCCTTTCTCCACTGAGCTGTAGGGCCTTTGCACTTGCCATCTCATGTGCATAGAACAGTCTTCCCACAAATGTACCCAGCCTACTCTCATTTCATCCCAATCATTTCAGATGCTGTCTCCACAGAGGGCTTCCTCCCTTCCTCACCAAACTTCTCCAAAGAAGACTCTTGCTTTACTTTTGTTTGTAGCATTCACCATTAGGAGACATCACTTGATATCCATTTGGTTTTTGTTAACTGTCTATCCATTATGTTTAAATATGGATTCCAGGATGTTAGACAGTATGTCTTAGGCCTCAGGTCTTGGAATATAGCCTGACACCTAATAGATGCTAAATATTTGTTAAAGGTAATTATTTTAACAGAGCAAAGAAATAAGAATAAATTAAGAGATTCAAAGAGCAAATCATATCGATCAATGACCAGAACAAAAATGCTCATAGCAGCTGGGCACAGTGACATGTGCCTATAGCCCTATACTCCTGACCACTCAGGAGGCTGAGGTGAGAGAACCAGTCAAGCTCAGGAGAGCAGTGCAGGTAACCAGAGCAAGACCTCATCTCAGAAAATAGAAAAAATCCATAGCACAAGGCACAGAAATTGACTTTTTCAAAAAAGCTGAACGTCACTACAACAATGTAAATTTCCTGACATCAAAGCATCCATGAGGGGGAAAAAAACTGAACTGGAATAATGCTAGTTTTCTTTTTATATGGATTGCACTAGCCACAAGACATCACATATATTCTAACTTCTAGGCAAACAAACAGAAATTTTTGAGTATGAAATGATGTCAGAGCAGATTTTTTAAACTGCCACTGAAATAATTGTTTCCAGCTGAAATATTATGAACTACAAAGGTTTCTCCCATTGGAGAAATACATGGACCCAGTGTCTATTGTCACCTTGGTCTTCAGAAAGTGTGACGTTAGGTCTCTTTGTTGTTCAACTTCACTGCGCACATGGTTGCAGAAAGCCACGGAGTACTGCCGACTGTAGTAGGGACTGAAGTTTTTAATAGCAGCCTCAGTTTTCCCTAGAAAAAATAGAAAAATTAGAATTCTGAAATGCAGTAGATCTCACAGAAGGGACATCTTATCTGCATAATTCTATAAACATCCCTCCGATCTCCGTAACTCCAGTTTCCCAGAGGTTTGATATCAGCCTGTCTTTTCTGAGAACTTGTGACCTGTCGCACATGACTGGACTTCTCCTTCCACTTCTGGCATTATTCTAAGAGACTTCAGGGACCCTAGGGACCATCCATCCCGTAGCCTAAAGGATTCTTCTTCATTGTACATTGTACCCACTGCCTTGGCCATAAACTCAACCACTCTTCCAATCCTGCTAAGATTAATCTACCTCACCCTCTCACCACTTCAGTCTGCTCATTATTCTCCTCTACTGCCAGACATACAACCCCTCCCACACCATAATAATCCCAGGGTCTACCCTTTACACGCCACATACACATGCCTCCATGTCTCTTCAGAGGCTCCATCTCTAGTGTTTGACCCACAGTCTTAGGGAAAACTAAATTTCCTCTTGTTATGTTTCTGCTCTTCTGGTTTAAAAGACTTTTGTGATTCAAAGCATAGCATAATTTCAATGAGGTAAAAGGGAAGCTGTGGTGAACAATATGGAGTCCTGGATTGAAATCCCATTTCTACTGGTGAGTCAGAAACCAGCTATCCGACCTCAGCTGCGTCACTCAGCTCTCCCCGCCCCAGGGTTCTTGACTGCTCCACACTGAAGTGTAACTGCAGAGGTACAGCTGCTTCACAGTAGTGACTGGCAACTATAACATAGCCTCTCACATCAGATGCAAATTAAGTGGGGTATCCACCATGCTGGGGAAGCACGAGGCCCGGAATTAGAGGGACAGAACAGTTGGGCCCTGGAAACAAGTCTTTTCCAACCCCTGTGTCTTAGTTACTTCTCTCTCGTTGCTGAGACAAAATACCCAACGCCCAAAATGAAGGAAGGAAAGGTTTATTTAGCTTACAGTTTGTGGAGGTTTCAGTCCATACTTGGCTGGCTCCCAGGCAGAAGGTAGCAAAGCAACAAGAGCAAGGGGGAATGGCAGCCGAACAACAAAGCAGCCAGAGCAAAAGGGAGGAATGGCAGCAAGCAGCCTCTTTCCCTCCCTTACATTGTAAACAGGCTACCCCCACCTAAGAAGCCTGCAGCTCTCACATGATCTCCATGTCCTCCTCTTCCACAGGCTCAGGATGTATACAAAGTAAGTACCCTGGCTTTCTGCTGAGTCACTTAGCCAAACCCCTGGACTCCCCAAGTTGACATAATGTATCAACCATAACACCCTGCTTAGGTTTGGGTAGTATAGGAGATGAACAAATAAGGGCAAAAGAACACATTCTAAAGCACATTAGAAATCTTCCCAGCATTTCAAGAACTTGATACAGAATATAGAAATAAATACAAGTTTCACTGTCAATGATGACAAGCTGTGAGCCCATGAAATAGGATATTAGCTTGAGGAAAAATAAACCTGACATAACATTCCAAAATATTTTTCAATACCTCATGTGAATTTGGCACACTTTTTGTTTCTCAAATTTGACATTATAGTCAACAGAAAGTACTAAAATATATAACAAGATTTTTTTGGACCTATAATGAATGTAAACATTTCAAAAAGAAGTGAAGAACTGTAAACGTGTACATTGAGATTCTCAATTTCAACCTTGAATCCATGGCTTCCCATTTATGTTTACGAAAACAAACTTTAAAACACCCAAGGCATATGGTGAATACCTTCTACAGACAGAGAACCCCACTTTTGCTCAGGTATTGCAGTCTTATATATGGGATAAGAGGGAATTCTTTTACATTCCCCTAATGAAATGACACTTACTGGTCATATTTATGGGCTTTAATAATTATTACTTGTAAGGTCCTTGGAGATCCACTAATACTAGATTCTGTAGAAGTGTAAATAAAAGCCCCTATAATTTGAATCAGGCATGCTTTTCCTTGTTCTCTGAGTTTATGGTATTATAATTAATCACTATTTGCATAATGCTTTAATATACTCAAGCTTTATACCCATCTGATTAGTTACTAGTTTACTAGCTTTTATTACATTGCATAAGTAGTAAAATTCTACAGCCTTGTCTGTAATTTCCTTACAAAAGACTGAAGTATCTTTGAGAATTCCCACAACGAAAATGAGTCTCACTTTACTAAAACATATAAATGATTCATAATAAAACATGCCCTTTAGCTCCGTAGTCACTCTTTAGACTGTCAGTAGAGCAGCAGGTTAATTGCTGATGCTAGTTTTTGCACTCTGGCAAGCGCTTGGAATCAAATGAAAGAAGGTGGTTGTCATTTTACAGTGAACTGCGCAAAGCTTTGAAAGCTGGTCTGCCACATGACCACGCCTCTCCAGGGACACCCTGCTTCTCCAGAGGTGCTATGATGCCCCATCCCCTTCTAATGTATGAGCAAACAGCTTCTGTGGTTTGAATATCTGTACAGAGTGCCACCAATGCATCATTCATGAGGTAGCACTTACAAAGAAAGGATCACAGCTTTTTTAGGGACTGTAATTAACCTATGGTTAGTTCAAAATGTGAATAAAATAACTAATAACATCACAGGTTCTAGGTAGAAAAGAATTTAAAGCTATTCTCCATTGCATTTAGATTTCATATTAAATCTGTCTGAACCCAGAAAAAGGACTCTAGAGTGAGATAAACAGTTTCAGTCTTCTCTCTCCTGCTTGACCAGCAGTGGAAATTCTGAAGAGCTAGTTTTTCTCCCTTCTTACATATAAAGAGAAGACAGCAGAAGCAACATCATAGGAATATTGTAACAATTACATAAAACAACACAGTAAAGTGCCCAGCATGACAGCCGGAACACAGAAGTGCTCAGTAATTGATAGTAATTAAAATCATGATCATAGTGGTGATGATGGAATCCCCCCGCCAGGTTCTAAGAGACTGTCCTCAAGCTGAGCAAAGGCATTGAGAACTCAAAAGGCACGTTGCCTACCATCACTCTTGAACTGGGGACAGCCTAATCTGCTGCACACCGAACAGCCACCCGCTCTGGCAGGCTCAAAACACATACAACCTCCGTGTCCACAGATGTGTCAGTACAAAAGGCACTCAGTGAATCCCTGAACTTAGATGAGCTAAATAAAACATTAGCATTAATGAGCTGAGAGCAAAAAACATAAGCTAATAGCTGTATTACACTGAGACTCTCTGAGCATCAACTTTCTCCCTGCAACATAGGGAAGATACCCGTAACAGAGGCTTTTGTGAGGAGTAAATGAAATTTTTATTTCACATGTAAAGAAGTATCTAATACAGTGCCTGACCATGTATTAGTTCACCAATAAATTTGGACCATTATTTAATATTCTACAGTAAAATATTCAAATCAGCAGATCAGCTCACAGGTGCCACATAAAATGAACTCAGCAAAAACAAGTTTATTTTCCACAGGTTTCGAGATCAGTGAATGCTGAATTTCCTTCATTCCCCTGCCCCCAAATTTAGTATGACATCTTCTTTCCTGAATTGTTTGTAAAACACCAAGCCTGATCTTCCTCGAGAAGGAGATTACTGGATAACAGAAAGACTAAAACAAATGGAAGGGCTTCTTCTGCAATGTGGCATATGAACACTTTTGACACAGGCATATTTCTTCAAATCTATGCAATTATGACAACGTGCGCTGGACACTGTGTTGGTCCAATTCATGTGACCAAGCTGCTTGTGATCCCCCTCAGAGGAACCCTCACTAAACTCAAAGAACTCCCTTCAACAGCTTTATCTACAAAACTTAACTGCACTTCATTTTGTAAAAATAAGAAAAGTACCTGCTGGTCCTTTGAACATCCTTTCAGTACATACAGGCTCAAAAGCCAGCACTTTTAACTCTCCTCCGCTCCTGTATTCAATCATCAGATCCTGTCATTGCTGTTTCTATAATATTTCTTGAATCCATTTCAACCACCATACCTTCTATCAAGCTTTTACTCTATCTCAACAATTGTAAAAATCTCTTCATCTGTCCTACACCAGCATCACAGCATGGTGGAAAATTTTAACTAGATCTCAGCTCTGAAACAGGAACAAAAAAGTCAAAAGCAGAGTGGAAGACGGAACGCAAGGGCTGATACACAGATCCTAGATGACTGTGGGGAAGAAGCCACATGACACAAAGAGAGATTCTGAGAAGGGCCAGAGTCTGGAGCTGATGGGGCAGAATAGGAAAGGTCAAAACCAAGCTGGCCACCTTGGTTCCACGCAAGATGACACAGGTAGGAATTACTAAGGCCCAGGTGTTAAAGTGGGGAACCATCCTTCAGAATCAAATCATGGCACTGATGCAGCTAGGGAACTCTTGAAAGTCATAAGAGGGCAAAAACCTCACTAGCCATAGAGGTACAGGTCCACGGATCAATGCTTGCCAGGTTTGACACATTGCGGCAGACTACATCAACACACTCATAAAAGCCCCTTAAGAGTTCCCCATGGGTAGACAAAGAACTCCTTTACCGAGCGCCGAAAAGAATGGCCCCCCTTGTCACTACTTCCCAGCTCTTCCTCTCAGACTGTATCTCCTTATCCTTTTGGCTCTCTATGCATAACCAGCCTTCTCTCTTCTTGTTTCTCTTTTTTGCCATACCAGCCACTTCAGACTCTTCAAGCCCAGATGGCAATCCCAGCCTCAAAACGAGCCTTTTTGGATCACCTCAGCTGCAAACAATCTTACCTTCTTCTGCATTCTCACAGAACTCTGTACCACTTTTGCTACAGCTGTTTAAATATGGCTTATCTCTCCTCCAAGGGCATATTGTATTTATATAATCAGCAAATATTTGTTGAATGAGTGAAAGAATAGCTGAGTACATATTCAACATTAAAGTAAATTACAAGGCATAACAATAATGAAATCTATAGCAATGTTCCCAGAAGAGGAGAAAGGTACAGATTTCAGCCTGAATATCTATCATTAAAAATATGTACTCTCAAAGCTCAATGCACATTTGTTCACACAAAAAAAGTTAGGCTCTCATAGATTAATTCCACCTAAGCTTTTAAATGAGTGTTGTCCATAAAAATATTTGTGGAAAATTATTTGCAAACAAAATCCCTTCTTGGTTTGTTTTCCTCAACAAGCCTAGAAACATGGGAAGTATGTACCTGTAAGGGCCTACTTAAAACTACATGAAATCTCAAGAACCAGAATTTGTACATTTTCTCATTTTAGAAGATTCTTTTAAAACCACAGCCCAGTTCTACAGCTGTTCAACTCAATTCTACTGTTTATCAAAAGTCTTTCCAGAAAGATATTATTTATAGTAGATTAGCCCTAGTTCCCTGTTACTCCTAGTGTCACAACTATGAAATATTCTAAGAGCTTCTCCAACCAATGCAGATTCCTCTGTATTTTATTTACCTTCCAAAAAATGCTCATAAACACAAGATTATGAAAAACAAAATCCAAACACTGTTTTTCCTGTATTTTCTT